GTGGGGGGTTAGGGGGAAGCGGGGGAAAGTAGGGGGGGGGAAGCGTGCACGAGAAGTCGGGCGGCGGAACGGTGAGCGGCACAGGGGGAAACGGGTCGAGATCGGGAGGGGGGCGACGAGGAAGAGGAAGAAGAAGGGGGAGATGATGACGACGAGGAGGGGGGAAGAGGAAACAAGGACGACGATGGTGAAGGAGGAGAAGGTGAAGAAGAAGAAGAGGGGAAAAAGAAAGAAAAGAAAAAAAAAGTTCATTGGTGACTTACCTTCACGCCTGCTTCAAGATCGGTGACGTGGCAGCGACGACGACGAAGGCAGCGGGGTGCTGACGTGGCGAATCTGGCGATAGTGGCAACGGCAGGTACGAGGCGCTGACGTGGCAGCGGCGACGTCGACGAAGATGACGACGATGGCGATGACGTGGCGACGAGGACGACGACGAACAATGGAATAGGGAGGGAGGGAGGGCCGTTTGCCACTCCGATACCAGTGTAACGGGGCTGAGGTAGAGCAGCGAGGTCGGGGAAGAGAGAGGGAGGGAGTGAGAGCACACGCACACACTCACTCAACTCGACACGGACTCGACGTGACTCGACGGACGCAGACACAAAGTGGCAGTGGCAAAGTAGCAAAGTCGTAATCTTGGTTCCGTACACAATGTCGCAGCAAGTTACACTGAAGCACAAGCACTGAGGCCGAAAACTGAATGGCCAAACTCAGCTTGAGTCCGGTCTTAGGTATTGGACTCAATTGAGTCCGAGGGTAGAAGTGCAGTTTGCCTCGGGGCTGAACTGAAAATCGAAGGTCTGAGCCTGGGCACCAGAATGCCGGATGGCGCCAAGTATTGAAATCCGAAAGTGAAAGAGGCGGGATTTGAGAGCGGGCGCCATCTGCAGAGGGCCCCAACAGTCAGGAACCGGAGATCAGAGAATCAAAAAAATATAGAATACCAGCCTGGCGGATGGTAACCTGAGGACCAGGGATCGAGCCCTAGCTGAGTTCGTAGCAGCCGCTCTGCTGTCCAAGTACGACGGGAAGGGGGATATTACCTTCGGGATCAACTTCATGCGGTCATACTCCGAGGTACAGCAAAAGTCGCAGGAAGACCGAAGTATGATTATGGGCACAAACATCGAGCCCGTTGTTCGGAGTTTTATCGAGTTCCAAGCTGGCAGTTCAGGTTACCAAAGGATTGGCCTGACTGAGTGGTTGAAGATGACTTTCGTTCGCACTCTTGTGGACCTCCTCATCGCACAGTACCAAGATACGCATGTTGCACTCAAAGCAAGACTGAAGCTTGAGGCCCTTAAGGGCCAAAAGTGAGCAGCATTTGACTAATCTATTCACTACTCCAGATCTGGGATAGGGTGATGTGTCTTGCATGGATGTAGTCATGGGAGTGGCCCTTGAAGGATATATGTCTTGGCTAGGACTCAAGGAGCATTCAACTTGGCGTGAGATCTTAAAGGATCTAGTCAACCTAGAGGCCAAAAACCTCGCCAGGCGTGCGAAGATACCAACTGCAGCTAAGTGTTTTGGACACAAGTGGTCCAGAAGCAGCAACCAGCTTGCCCTACATGAACATCTGTGGGTTGAGGACCAATCCTATGTGGATGATCTGGCTCTACCTCTAGATGATGATCTAGAGTCGGACTAAGCGGCAACCAGCTTGCCCTGCATGAACATCTGAGGGTTGAGGACCAGTCCTATGCGGATGATCTGGCTCTACCTCTAGATGATGATCTCGGACTCCGGTGTGGGCTGCTCTACATCAACCCTTGAGACGAGGAAGAAAAATGTAATGCCTTTAGAAAGACTGCTTTAATCAAGGGGCCTAACCGCTGTTTTGGACCACGTCTACATCCTCGACAAGTGTCCCTTTGACGCGGTCATTGGCTTGGGTTGGTTAAAGGCGCATTGTCTAAGAACCACGTGCGCGGATACTCAGTTCGTGGTGCGTGATGCAAAGGGGAACGAGCGTACCGTCTTGTTGGATGAGACGCGCGAGTCCCCAGTGACTCTCTTGAGTGTGAACAAATTCTGCTTTTGAAGTTGAAACAGATGCTGAATCCAAGGCTACTGCAGTCCAAGTACTTTATACCGAGCCATAGGAGGAGTCCAAGGAAGTCAACTTTCATTCTTACCTGGAACATTGGATGCGGCTCAAGCAGCAGCGCCGTGTTCAAGAGTGTGGAGCTGATCGTTTTTAAACTGCTCATTAACCGTTGAGACATCCGTGTTTTGATTGACAATGGCTCAACAACGTGCTTATTTTCTTCTAACGGAATTCGTAAGGCAGGTTTGGGAATGAAGAAAGTGGAATTGTAAAACCCTTGTCGGACCAAGGTAGGTAACCAAACGCTTATCACCTCAACACATGTTGTCGAAGATGTGCGCGTCACCTTTGACGAAGATCGCACAGTCACACATAAGTTAAACTTCTATATGCTCGACAAGTGTCCCTTTGGTGCGGTCTTTGGCTTGGGCTGCTTAAAGGTCCGTTGTCTTAGGCCTGTCTCTTATACACATCTAGATGTGTATAAGAGACAGGTGTGGAGCTGATCGTTTTTAAGCTGCTCATTAACCGTTGAGACATCCGTGTTTTGATTGACAATGGCTCAACAACGTGCTTATTTTCTTCTAACGGAATTCGTAAGGCAGGTTTGGGAAAGAAGAAAGTGGAATTGTAGAACCCTTGTCGGACCAAGGTAGGTAACCAAAAGCTTATCACCTCAACACGTGTTGTCAAAGCTGTGCGCGTCACCTTTGACAAAGATCGCACAGTCACACATAAGTTGAACTTCTACATCCTCGACAAGTGTCCCTTTGGTGCAGTCTTTGGCTTGGGCTGCTTAAAGGCTCGTTGTCTAA